TTTTTTTTTTTTTATTTGGCATCCATTGCTTTGAAATCACACCTTCTCGTCTGCCTATGAATGGCATGCCCATATGAGGCGCTTCTAAAAAAAACCACTGCCTGAAATCGTTTAATAAGAGGCGCTACTAATTTTACATACTGGGTTTTCATGCATGCAATGTAATATATGCGCATAAATAAGTGCACTTGACCGTGTCCAATTTCAGTTTTCAAGGGGAAACAGTGAAAAAAGCAAAACAAATATCATGAAGCCAAAAAACACAATGGGGTAAAAACGCGAGTGCAAGAATGCAAATTAAAGTACAAAGCAATGTGAAATTCACTGGCACTTCGACAGCAGCACAGCAGTGCAATCAGCAATTGTGAGTCAATAGTATATAGTAGTTTTATATGTGAATGCTTTGTGAGTGTATGTGTTTATTAATGCCCTCGACGCAACCGCTTCTCTGCGCTACTTGCAGGCAGGCATGTTGGCTGGCTAGGCTCTTACAAGATGTCTATGTATGTATGTATGTATGTATGTCTACAGGCAAGGGGCTGGCCGCCGAAAATTGCATTTATTATAATCAACGGCTTATGCAGGGGTATTTACCTAGCCTATATACATACATACAGTGAGCTTCAAAAATAAGTATACCTATAACGGTTTGACGAGTTGATTTATTTATATTTTCCATACCAAATTTTTATAATTTTTTTTTATAAAAGCATAGTTCATGCAACAGCAAAAACAACATTTTTATTTATTTTTTTTTAATTTCACACAAAACTCTGGAAAATGCAAGAAATTTTCATCGAAATTTTAAACTTTTCGGTTCGATTTATTGGAAAAATGTTGAGCAACAAGCAGTTTAGTATAATAAACTGCAACAGATTTTTCTTTTGCCGAGGATGTTGCGCAGTTTCGTCCATGTAACGCATGAATACAATCTTTTTTTAAATGAAGAAGTTACGCAGCACTCTCAGCAAAAAAAAAAATCTCAAAAATCAATTGCGATTGTTAGCGACTTTAAACTTGCACTTTATTTTTATAAAATTTACTGTGCTACAAAATTGCAAACTCAACTACTTACTAGTTGTGGCAGTTACTGTCGAAAATCTAACATTTTTCTAGTTTTTTATTTAAGTCTCTTGGAGAGGTACAAAATTACTTACCGGAAAATCTCCTACTTTGACCTAAAACGTGACAAGAATTGTTTATGTGTATCTTTGCAGTCTTTTAACAGGATTTGCAATTGACCAAATACATTTCAGTTTCTCGATAAATGTCGATAATTTGATACATACATATAATTGAATCAATATAAAAATCAATAAGATCCGATAACTTAAAAAGATCCGAAAACTCGACGAATTTCGATAATTTTCGATAAATATCAATTACTGTGCGTTTGGAGTGATCGATAAATTTCAATAAATCAAAACTGTACCTATATTTCTCGTTATGAATCGAACACTCGATAAACTTTGGAAACCTCCATAAATTTCGATGGCTCGGCTAATATTTATAGCTCTATGTTTTATTGAAAGCCATCGACAAATTTTGATAACTCGTTACACTCTGGTAACATGATAAAATTCAATAAGCAGTAATAACTCGTTAAATTTACGTATGTAAAATGATGAAATTTCGATAACTCGATATATTTTGAAAATTCCAAAACTTCGTTTCGATAAACGTTCGAATTTTATTAAATCAATGATTATCGATAACTCGACTCAATGCATTGCGATAGCTCGATAAATTTCGTTAACTCTATAAATAAGGATAATTCAATAAAAATCTATACCTTCATATATTCCATTAACTCGACAAATTTCGGCGAATAATTTTCTGTGTCTATAAATACCACACAATAATTGATCAATTTGAATAATTCGATACGTTGCGTTAGCATGCATTATAATTTCGATAAACTTCGGCGATTCGATAAATTTAGGTAACACGATAACTTTTGATAACCAAATTTTTTATTACTGAATTTATTCCGAATACTATCGAAAAATATCAATAATTTTTTCTACCCTTTCAGTTACCCTAATTCTTATCGATTTCTCATTGCTTTCGTTTTCGTATATATCTTCAATTTTGTCTTCACTTTTTGGTTTAATTGTTATCATATATTTCTTCATCATCACATTTACCTTTATTACGAATGTAAAAAAGTAAAAAAAAAAACCCCGAAAACAACTCAAACTAAACAGGTTGCAACAACAACTATGCACTGAATTTTTACCAAATTTTAAACCGTAAAATCTCTCATCGTCCACAGTAAAATACTTTCCCAAGTGGTTTTGAATTAGGTTCGGTACAATCGCCAAACGAAAGCGGACAAAATTTATGTTAGCGTATTAATGCATACATAGATATAATTTTAATTATTATTGATACTCACTGTATATGCAAACGTATTCAAAATACTTGTCACCATGAGCATTAGCTATTCTAGTAAATATTAAATTGCGCTAAAATTGTAAAATGCCCAATTGTCTTGGCAAATAATTGAAATATAACATCCGTATGCGCATACAAAGTTTGAGTATGTATTCAGTTATGCTGCATTGAAATATTATGTATATGTATGTACATATATGTTGCGAGTCCACGCATTTAATAAGTGCCCAAGTAAGTACACAACAAAAGGGGAATTTATAATTTTCACATTGAAAAAAAAAAAACAAAAAGAATGGTAACTTCCATAGTCATAAAGCATTCTTGCCTTACTTTGAAAGAAAAAAATGGTGTTGCTTCATTTTTGAGGAAATAGCCCGATTGGTTGGTCAAAAGCGTCGTTTAACATGTCAAAACTCGGAAGTCTAACTGCCACTATTTCCGACTAAAGTCGCCAATACACATTGTTCCGTTAAGGCGTTTTCATTTCACAGCTCATAAAATCAACCATATGTACATACATACATGTGTGTGTAGGTAGGCAAATGACCAATGGCAGCGTAGTGAGCACTTATTTAGTTGCCGAACAAGATTCAAGTCACCGATAGCGCACGGTATGCAAAGTGGGCGCGTACTATTATACATATTCACATATTCACATGAATTGCCAACGCCAAAGTTGTAAAGTAAAATGCGCTTCTAAAAGACACGCATACGCCATGTTGTACCGTAGTAAAAAGTCTAGAGGAAAATATGTCTGAATGATTGCTAAAAGGAACCGCTCAGTGGGCCAATTAAGTGCAGGCAACAAAGTTACCAAACATTATAATTACAGTTTTAATAACAATAATGGAATTCGTGCAGATGTGAAGAAATATATTTACATACATACATTAAATAATGCATTTGTGTTTAAGTGGGATATACCACTCCGTAGGACCTGGGTTCGATATCGGCTCCGAGTAGCTTCTAAATTAGAAAAGGCTTTTTCTAACCGTGATCGCCCCTCGGCAAGCAATGACAAACCTCCGAGTGTACATATTTAGTGTAAACACTTCTGCCATAAAAAGCTTCTCATAAAGTCCATTTGCCCGGTCGGAGGCGGCGTAAAACTTCAGGTCCCCCCATTTGTATGCTGGTATTTTTGTTGCTTTTTCATTTACTTCAAAAAACCGGAAATTTCAAATGCGGGCGACGACGGTCAGTAATGCAAGAGGTGTAGATACGAAAACTTGGCACTATGAATTTGTATTAGTCCGTGCCGCCTTTTGAATCGCATTGAGTTTCGCATCGCAATACAGAGAAGACCCCCAGATTCATACTGGCCGAAGCAGTTAAGTTAAAAGATTAAGAGCCGTTTTCCCCTTTAGGTTTTTAAAATTTATCTGCGCTTTAAACACAAATTTCGTTCTGAAAAAATCAGTTGAAAGAACAGACAAATTTTATGTAAAGCCAACATGAGAAAACAGCACTAAGTGAAAGAGTAAAAAATGTTATGCCTGTTTTATATTTATTTATTTATTGGCAAATAACTCCATTGCTCTACGAGCATGCTGATTAACCGGGAAAGGGGCTTTGGAAATTTTCCTCAGTCTTTACTTGTCCTAGGTACTTCTGAGCTAAGCCCAATGTCCTCTCAGCAGCGTCACTGAACACAGAAAATACTGTAAAAAATGCATTGGCTGTAACAAAACGTTTAGATGAGGTCGACTCATTTGAATCAAATTGTAGGGAATCATAAATAAGACCGTACCTCTAGAAAAAAAGTTAAAACGCAATTAATTGCTTTTGTAAATAATATGGGCTGTGGCGTCGCGGTTTTAAGCTAAGTTACACGGCAATTCTTTTTTTTTTGCAATAAATATTCTAAAAATTTAACTCAATAAAAAAAATATATTTTTTTTATTTTTAAACCAAAAAAAAAACTAAGATATACAAGAAAATTAAGTTTAAAAAGGAAAGGAATAAATAAAATGCAAATAAAGCAAAGATAAATAAAAATTTCTTTAAATATTAAATGTAATTAAAGATATATATATTTTTTTCTAAAACGATAAAATTTCAAAATTATATTAGAAAAAAAAGAATAAAACAAGAAAATAGAACTTGAAAATTGTATGTATGTATACAAGTAGCATGTAGGACATTAACGGCGTTTCATTGCAGTTCATTAACGATTATAAACCATGTTTTTCAGTTGCTGAACTTTTCATTTTTTTTTTTGGTAAATTTTCAAAGAAAACATATTTGTAGTTTTAATAGATAAGATGGTTTTTTTTAACTCACCAAAATTCGTCCTGTTGTTGTTTGTCCCGATATAAGCTCTCCAGCCCAGTCTTTGGCTTCTGTCATAAAGGTACCCTCGAACTCTTGTTTGTTGCGTGACGCCTTCTGCTCCTTCTGCTTGGGATCGTTTGGTCCCAGATCGGGCTCTTTGCGACAGCAAATGAATGCAAAAGCCCGCCATAGTAGCACAATAAATAGGCCAGCAAGGAAGGTAAAAATGCTCGAGAGCAAAAAACACCAATACTTGCGTACTTTGAGACACTCATCGGCAACGAATGGTGAATCTGTTGGATCTTCGGCCAATGATTCGACAGTGCTTTGGTCACACCCCGACATCCCCTAAAAAAAAACAAGTAATTGGTATTAGTTAAGAATTTTTTATAAGACAATATTGATCTTTTTCTTTTAGCAATTCATGAAATGGATATGTGATTTAATGCAAACATGGTCAGAACATAACAAATTACAGTCTTTTTTTTCTAGCTACATATTTAAGAACATAGATTGGTGAATATTTTTAGTTTAGATAGCTATTAGCTGCATATTTGTGGAGTTATGTATGTAGCGCTACTGTAATATGGAAAGGTTAATAACAAATTTAAAAATCTAATAGAAATTAAAGTCCTTTGGAACTTTTTTCAAGCGTTGGTTTCTTTTAAATATGGACTTTAATTTATGGTTGTCATAATGGTTTTTAAATTCATTAACAATTGGTTAATAAAAATTGACTTTGGCCTTAACTTTCTATATTAATTTAACGATATATATATTGTTCTCAAAGGATTAATATAAATAAAGGCGATTTAAAAGAATTAACGTTTTTTTGTCAAATGTATTTGAGTCAGTAGCCACTGATCTGTATCATCTGAATCAGAGATTTCTAAAAGAAAATAAAAGTTTATTAAAGCCTATGAATTCCCCAGAAAGAAGAGATTTTGAGAGTATATCAGCAGAGCAATTCTGGTAACTGTCTTTCAACTCACTACAGTCTTTCGAAAGAAAAAGTTTTTCGTAAAAGAGTTGTTAATTCTGGCAACTATCTTGGAAGCCCTTTACCGTCTTTCGAAAAACTAATTGAAAGAAAAGTCTTTGCAATGAGTTTTTCTTTTAAATTAAATTAAAAAATTATATATATATTTTTTTTTTAATTAACACTAATACATAAGTAAAAGAAAATGAAATTAAAAAATTAAAAATAATTAAAATGAAAATAAAACAAAAATAATTAAAAGTATTTTTAGTAATTGAATGACATCAAAAACATATTTTTCTCTTTTCTAAAATATAAAATCTGAATATTATATTAGAAAAAAAAGAATTAAATTCAAAAGAAAATAGTACTTAAAAACTGAAAAAAATAGAAAAAAAAGTATTTTTAAAACAAAATCAAAGAATTAAAGAAAATTTAATTAAAAAAGGAAAAAGAAAAAAAGACATTGATTAAAAAAATAGCAAATTAATAAAATAAGTTTCAAAGAATTTCTGAATGGTCTTAAATGCATGTCTAAAGTTAAGTAGTGAGTGAGTAAAGTGAGCTTTAAAGCTACAGGGTACTTGAGAAAACGGTCCTAAATTCTATAAATTAAAAGAGAATTTAACTAAAAAAATAAAAAAAAAATTTATTCAAAAAATATAAATTAAATAAGTTCCTTAAAATTAAATTAAACTTCAAAAAATATTCTTCTTGTTAAAAGAATAACATCTAAATATTAAAAGAAAATTAAATTATCAAAGAAATAAATACTTAAAGAGAAAAGATACATAAAAAATGTTTCAAAAAATTAAATGGCTCTGAAAGAGAAAAAATTTACATTACACAAAAAAAATAGAAAAAAATCCGCTTCCCGAGGATTCGAACTCGAAGCTCTCGAAAGGCACCCCTGTGCTTTGTTTACTCGGCCATTGCGACTGTTGGAGCAACGCGAGCTAAATGATATATGTACGTACAAGTGCTTTCTCCCAAAATTGGATTTTAACCTCGAGTGGTGAATAAGAGAGCTTTTTTCTAAGACTTTTGTGCTAGAATAACAAAAGTCTTTCGAACTATCTTGCCATCTGTCTTAGCTAAAATTACCCAGTAAACCTAGACTCCCTTCAAGCCATCTCCAAACAGCAACAGACTCAAAAAAAAACATGTGATGGTCTCCTTGGTCGGCTCTAAAAGCGGCACATTTCATTCGTTTTTACTTATACCCAGTTTATACAGTTGGCGTCACAGTCTGCAGTATCCTGCAATCAGATTCCAACATTCGCTATCACTAATCTTGCTCGCCAAAAATCTCCAAAAGAATAGCATGCGCGCTTAACGATATGCAAACTATCTAGTCTTACCGCCAGCTTTAGCTGATTACACATTGCATCTGTTGCTTTTTTATTTTGCATACATCTAGGCCTCACTGTTTTTCATCTAGAGAACTTTGGAAACGAAAATTTAACGTGGTGATTGTCAGAATTCCACTGCTGATGACTTTTTTCAGTGTTTCAACGCACTCCTCTCTTTTCTGTTCTCTTCTCTAATAGCATTGGGGTCTACGGCCAGTATGTTCTGCCATTAGCTTTCACACTTTCTCTTTTTTTATGGCCTAGCTAGACATCGTTGCACCTAGCAAGGAAATTTAATCACTCAATGCACTCAAGGTTGAGGGATGATTTGATTTCATTTGTTAAAGGATACTTTAACACTACCCGGTTATCACTTAAAAAATAAGATCCTCATTTCGATAGTTCCTAATTAAAGGTTGTTTTCACTATCCTGTCACATTTTGACACAACTTTATCTTCTTTTTCCATTCCTTTTCCAATTATTTTAGAGGTCAAAAACGGACCGATTTAGTATCGTATGTACTCGACTGAAGAACTAATCTGATCTAAATCAATCTACAGACAGGTTTTTTGTTCCACTGAAAATGTGTTTTCACTTATTTGACGGCGAATGTCGTCATTGAATTTTACAAGGGGAAAACCAGCTATAACTTGAACTCCGCAAAAATACTACTTAATGGCGTAGCCTTGCAATTCACTTTGTTAAATATGTGGCTGAAAATGCATACATACATCAAATCATTTGCTAGAGAATAGTTCCTTATTATGGGAGTGTTACTCATACGCACTGGTTCACTTCCACTTAAAAACCAGTAATGGCGTTTTCGTTTCTACCAAAAATGTTGCCTTCTCATCGACCTTTTCTTAGTGTTTGTGCGTAGAGGGCAAAGAGAAGGTTGCATTTTTCGGTAGAAACGAAGTGGAAGTGAACCAGTGCGTATGAGTATCACTCCCATAGTAAGGAACTATTCCCTAAGAAATTTTCGTAAACAAAAAATTTAGGTTTTTTCGACTAACAAAAAATGATTCTCTATTTTTTTCGAAAAAAATAACGGTGTCGATGTAAATTGCCTTCTTTCTAAGATGGCGGCGATATCACGCCGGCTCTTGAGAATTGAGAACAAATGATAAATTAATAAAAGTCTCGACATTTTTTTTTTTCAACTTGAAATTTTGTCTATATAAAGTTATTGGATAAAGGGTTGACTTTTATGATTTCAGTCAGATGATAGCGGTTAAACAAAGCCAAATATATTGTTTATCAAAAATAAAAAGCATTGCCAAATAGCGAACAAATGCAAACATAAACAAGTAAAGCAGTATAAGTTCTGATTAAACCAAATTTTATGCACCCAGCGCAGGTAACAAATATCGTCGTCTCAACTTTCTCTAAACTACCTTTGCATGATAAAAGAGGTTTTCCCGGTTTGAAACGTTTACTATAATATGCTGAGTTAGACTTAGTGATATAATTAAACCAAGTTTGGTAGAAATCGATAGAGCGTTTACCGATATACATCTTTGTAGTCATAAAGTGGGCTATGTCACGCCCAATTCCTAAAAGTCTATAACAGTCATACTTATTGATGAGATATTGTTGTAAGTATTAACTTGGAGTAAATTAGCATCGTCAGTTATTGAAATATCGGATTTATCGTATTTCTGAAATTTTCCTTTATACGGGAAGCGGCTGTAATTTTAGTCAGATTTGAATAATTTTCAACTAATCGCTTTTCCGTATCAAGGTTATTAAGTGCACCAAGTTTGGTAGAAATTGATTAATTGGTTACCGAGATACACATTTGTGGTCATAAAGGGGCAGCGCCACGCCCCTTATTAACAAAAATTTTATAATTTAATTTTATGCTCAGTGGTTATTGCAATGATCGACTTTAAGTGAATAAGCTTCAGTAGTTACTAATTTGTCGCAGTTTTCGTCTTTCTATAAATTACCGTTATATGGTAGGGGGCGGGGATTTTTAACAGATTTCTTAGCTAGACCCTAGGAAAGGCTCATGCCGAGTTTGGTAAGGATTAGTGAAGGGGCTACTAAGATACAGCATTCCATCATAAATGGGTGGGGTCACACCAATTTTACAAAAATTTCATAACAATATTATTTTTTACCAAAATTCTACTACACACATTAATTTTCAACAATTTAGATCCAATATTTACTGAAATATCGTAGTTCATGCATTTTTCGAATATACCGTTATATTAGAAGTGGGCGTGACTACGGTCCGATTTGGCCAATTTTCAATATCTTAGATGAAAAATTTCGTTGAAATATCTCAATTTTTGCACGACGGACGGACGGACAGACAGACATTGTTTAGTTGATTTTTTTTTTTTATTCTGATCATTTATGTATACATAAATTTGTCTATATCTAATTCGATTCGCTTTGGCTATTACAAGCAACGCGTTGACGAAAGTACTGATTGCTTGAGGTAGGCGTTTTCGGAAACTAATTTTTTTTTCCTGTGGGCGAACGGTCAAACGCGGAAATATCTAAACATGAAATTGATAGCAGTTTATAATTTGTTTGAACAAAGAATGCCATGAAAAAAATTGTATGTATTCCGAACTGCTATTTGTTTGTTTACTGTTAGTGAATAGATGGAAAATTTCGATTCAGCTATATTATGAACTTGCCCTTACATTGCTCATGTCGATCGTGGCGGAGCTCAGATTAAGCGCGTATGCAAATTCATCCATCGCAAAGGCACGTTTTGGCAACAGTGACGTTGTTTACATTTTTCACACGAACACTTCAAATAAATTTTATGCTATGTATATTTAATCTTTTTTCCGAAAAAAGTGATTTTAATTTCCTCTAATAAGCATTCGGTACTACTTATTTTTTTTTACTAAAAATTTATTTTTTATATATATATTTTTTCTATTTTCTTCAGCACATTAAAGCTTTTAATTTTATGTTGTTTGCCCCATTAATGCACTGGCACGTACTTGTGTTTCTCGGCTGCCGCGCCGCTGGGGTTGACAAACGCGCA